CAAAAAAAAAAAAAAGGGAATGGATTGAAAATGAAACACTCATTCCAATAAATGTGACCTAAAGTTTCTTATTTTTCAAATGTGTTATTATAATTTTTTTTAGTAATATTTTTTATATACTTTCTACAGTAGCTTTGAAAAATTGACTGTACAATATAAATTTTCAGCAGTAATATAAATCAACGTAGTTACAAAGATTGTATACATTATCAACGTTTCTTTCAAAAAGCGTATTTATATATAAAAACCAAATAATAGTTACATAAATATCGATCTAAATCTATTCCCATGAACAATCTAACTGCAGACTCAATACGTAACATTATAGCTTGACCTCAGCTCTCCCGAATTAAACAAACTCTAATACACCTAAAAAATAACTAGGCTAATACTGTTGATAGATACGCATTTTAAGGTTTCATTACATAAAAAAATAGATAATTAAAGATCAAAGTTGTTGTAGTGATTATGTACCGACAATAATTTTAATCCGTGTAACATATTCAGTTGCAAGATAGGATATCTTGTTTGGGCAAGACAAATTAACTCCTCTTGCACCATAATTAAACTACATTGTTTATCTAACCTTATTACCATTTCTTGCATTAAAAAATCCAACGTTTTTCACTTTTTAGATGTTAAGATTTCCATGTGAACATATACTATGTAAATAAGCTTACTATTTTTCATATTCTTACAAGATTTTCCTAGTGTCACATGGGGGCTGCCATGCTTCATAGCTAGCTTCATGTTTTGGATGACATGCAACCAATAATTAATTAAGGTTGTTTACTAAGTGGTTGAACCACATTATATCTATGCACCTAGCTAGAGATATATACGAAAAGGTATCCCAAATTTTCATCTATATGTTCATATTATTTCTATTCACCTTACCTTGCATATATAAGGAAAAATCTTATATATATATATTCTAAGAAATAAAATCTCAATGTATAGATATTATTTTATAATATGCCAATATATGTACTTAAAATGTTAATTTTAGCATAATAAAGATATAGTGGTATAGTAATCAAAGATGCCCTTTTAATTAAATTAAAAGTTTATTTATTATTTCTGGTCCATGCTTGGAAAATTAGTACTGGTTGTTAATGGAAAGAGCCAATTCCAATTCCCATCAAGCCAACTGCATTTATCTTCCCCTTTTGCCTAATTCCTTAATTGCCTCCAAAGTTCCAATTCTTAAGAAACAACACGTGTTAAAAGAAAGGCATCTCATTAACTACAATTCATTGCTAAGTAGTCAATGAATGGACAAATATTGAATGACATATGGTGTGAATGAAACTAAAGAGCATTACAAGTTACTTAAAATAGGATTTATATGTATTATTGTTATTATTATTATTATTCACATAGATTATATCAAATAGGATTGTCTTAACAATAATTTTAAAAATATTCATTAGAATTAATTAGACCATAATTTATTAGATCAAAATTAAATGTTAATTGATGTCAAGTGAGTTTCTTAACTCTTAAGCCTTTTTAAATTGGAAAAAAAAAACAAGAAAAAAAAATTAGAGTGGAAAATATGTCATAATTAGACATTCAATTTCTAAGACAGCTATCAACTTGTTAATAGTTTCTTTCTCATTAAGATTGTCACATGGTCTCATTAGAATTTTGGTGCTAAGCTTTAGGAGAAAGATTGGCATTTTCATATGTGATTATCTCTATATATTCTTTTTGTGAGGTTTATAAAGCATGAAACACTGTTTTTTACTTGTATTCTTTGATTTTACATTCTTTCTCATGAAAAGTAAGGTAGTGGATGACAAAGACCAGCTTTGGGATAGAGATGGGTGCTTTAATTATTTCTTTTGGATCTACTCAATGACTTGATTGCAATCCCTAAACTTCAACTCTAAGAATGTGGATCAATTTGGATTTTTGTCAAGATTTTTCTTCAATTTACACTTTTTTTTTAAAAGCAACATTCTTGTATATTAACTAAAATTAAAATTACATCAATGTCAAATCTAGTCTACATCTAATGAACAGTTTTGTCAAAATTTTTCTCCAATTTACACTTTATTTTTTTTAAAAGCAACAATTTTATATATTAATTAAAATTAAAATTATACGAATGTCAAATCAAGTCTGTATCTAATGAACAGGCATTTAACTTAAGCGACATTATAATCTACAATCAGACAAATCACCATTATGAGTTTGTGAAATTGACACTATAATTTTTGTTTTGTTATTGTCTTTTCCCTTCTTAACTTGTTCTTGAATCTATAATTTGTTAATGGGTTAGAGTTATTAGTTTAATACAAAAGATTTTTCCTCATTAATTACGAGTAGAATTTTGGGTGAAAGGGAGTTTTGATTAATTAAAGATTTAAGCCCCCCAAGATTGCATACTCCTCGTGCAACAGATTGCAACATACATGAGAATCTTTAATGTCATATATTACACCACAATATTAAAATAAATTTGTTTTAATTACAAACCAAACTCATATTATTTATTGAAATTAAAATTTAATATATAAAAAATAGTTTTTATTATTTAAAAAAAATCTAAGTTCATGGTTTAACTTGGACTTAGCTTTTAATGGGCCAGGACCACTCTCTAAAATTTATTAAACTACCTATATTTCTCATTGACTTTTCTACAACACAAATTTAATTGGGCTTTCAACAACCAGCCAGTTTCAAGATCATTGGGCCTTAACGGCCACATAGAGGCCCACTTCTTTAATCAGAAATAATGGGCTGGGAACTCTGTCCACCAAATAATCTCCACGGCAAAAATAAATAAATAAATATATAAATAATATTATATATAATATAAAATCCATAACTTTTTATTAAAAAAAAATCCATAACTAAAAATATATTGCCATACAATTTACAAAAAACAGTTTTTTTAATAAATAATAAATAAAAAAATAAACACCATAAATAAATTAATTAAATATATATATATAAATTGGAAAAACAGAGATTCGGTTTCTTATCCGGCGGGACTTGAAGTGAAGAAAGAACAGAACAACCAGCGAGTATGTCGGCAGCGCTTCCACCACCAGCTTCATCTCCCAAACTGACAACAACTTCATTCTCATCCCCACGCTCACTTTACCACGCGTCATCAAAGCTCCAATTCTTCATCATCCCACGCGCTACTCCCGATTCCGACTCCTCGACCGAACCGGAATCATCTCCCTCCTCCGACTCCACCACCTCACCCGACTCCGACCCATTCGAATCCCGCCTCTCCCAAGTCCGCCTCCGTTACCGAAGCGGAACCGGCAAAAAAGCGGAGCTCCGGAAGTCGAGGAAAACCGGGTCCGTATCCGGATCCACTCCCTCCTCCACCCCCATCTACCTCCCCCCGGTGCCTTTAAAAGAAACGATTTCAAATGGGTTGAAAGTGGATTTCGGGTTTAGCCCATACAGCGAGAGAATAAACGGACGGATCGCGATTCTGGGGTTGACCGCTTTGGTTTTGGTGGAATTGGCTACGGGTA